AATCTGGACAGTGTCATATCCTTAAACGCTCCCCCTTAGGAATACTCACGCGTCGCGTCAATATTAGATGTTTGAAAATTTACGTTACTTTTACACGGATAATTTTAAATCAATGTAGAATCGGTTTCAGATAGTGGGCAAGGCTCAAAATTACATGTTATTAAAATTTATACTAAGCAACAACAGTAAACATAAAATTCAAGTTGTTGTGTGGAATAATGAAATAAACAGGATACATTTTCATATTCGACCTAATAGTGTATCAATTTTTCTTAATTTTTCCTTTATCTTTTTTATATTTACATTATATATTTGAACTATATTATACTTATAATTCAATTTTTTTATCTGCATTAAACATGTTCAAAGAAAATTAATCTTTGAAAATTGGCTAAATTTTCGTTTCTTGGTTCTAAATTTTAAATAAAATATTAGCATAATTTTATAAATGTAAGTACAAAATCTCGAAAATTCTATTCTTTAATATAAAAGTTAATTTTTTATAATTATAATATATTAATCTGGCTCATATAATTACAAATTAAGAAGTATCCAAAGAAGGGCAAGTGAGCCTTGCACGCAATTAATGCTAAAATTACATATATTTAAACAATATTCATTGTCACCCAATGGCTCAATGCGGAGCCGAAACGTTTGGGTGACAATGAATATTGTTTAAATATATGTAATTTTAGCACTAATTGCGTGCAAGGCTCACTTGCCCTTCTTTGGATACTTCTTAATTTTTTATATTTAAAAATGTTGAGATATCAAAATATGTCGAATCATCGCTCGCGTTGTTATGTATTTTGGGCGAATAGTGTCCAATAGAAGTGAGAAAGAGAATCTATACTTCTCTCTCTCACTCAGTTGATTTTTGAAAATGCGCAAGAGTGTCGTTTTCCGCTACAGAAATGAAAAGGTGCGCACGCAAGCCGCGCATGCGTAATTGCGAAAATTAACTTTGCAAGAGGGAGAGATATATCGGATCTCTCTGTTCAACTTATGGGCAATCCCCTTCCATGTATGGATCTATGATCGAGGGAGCATCGATCGGGATTCTATTGTCTCTTCCATGCTGACTTTCGTGCTGAGGTGTCTTGTAAGGACCTACGATCCGACGAATTGATAGTGCCAGCAATTCCGTCCCAAGGTTTTTTATATCGAAAAGAGAGAGCTTCCACGAGCCGGTAAGAATGCTCATATATGTATATAAATATATAATTGTAAAGCCATGCTTTAACTGAGAAAAGCGCGTTCTCGTTTTGGGGGTTGTCGTCGCCACGCGCATAGTGTTCGGTCCGCCATTGGCGGCGTACATACTGTACACGAATTTTCACGCAAGCTTTCCTCATATATTAAAGCACCTAGACTCATTAAAGCGATGCTGGAAGGCGGAAAAATTTGCATGAGGTCGTTAAAGCAGACTTCAGTGTCAATGGTATCTCCCCTGTTGAAGAAATCCATGTGGATTTCCACGTGGAAATTTTCCATGAAGATCTACATGGATTTTTTGAACAGGATCTAAAGGTATCCGTATCTAAAGGTATCAAGAATCAAGTACCGTTTTAAGGATCAAGGATTTGGTTTCTTTTTTTAAAATAAATTTTAAATTCGCGAATTCAATATGTCGTTGCATCAGGTGTTCAAAGTCGACAAAATCGACATCCCCGAATTGCGCTACGGGAATTTTTTGCAACATGTTCCAGATTTGATAAATTTGACTTCCTCGAGTCAAAATGGCGGATCAAATATGGCGTTGCACCAGGTGTTCAAAGTCGATGAATTCGACTTCCCCAAATTGTGCTACGAGAATTTGTTGCAAAATTTTCCTTAGTGTATAAATTTGAACTTCCTCGAGTTGACCTACGGGAATTTCGCTCACCAGATGTCTAGGCTCGACGAATTTGACTACGGAAAAATTTTTTGAAAAAGGTTTCAAGGTCGATGAATACGATTTCTCTGAGTTAAACTACATGACTAATTTCGCACGCGAATAATGCAGCGTGCGCGAAGCGCGCGCCTGTTATGTACTAGTGATATAAAAATAAGAAGTGGAAATATCCTGATGGAAATTTTTACGTCAAAAACACGAATGTTTTATAAATATCGGAATATACAATATAAGAATATATTTAAGTTAAAAAAAATATACATATAGACTGCGTCCGGTTTGGTGCTTACAGCGCTTATAAGCATCAGTTGTCCTTGTTTAACATTTGATAAACAACAAGGACGAAATGATGTTGTAAGCGCTCTAAGCGCCAAAGCGAACGCAGCCATAATAAAATCTTATTTTTAAAATGTGAAAAAATACAATATTTTTATATATTTTTTGAGGTAAAATTTCGAAAATTTAATAAATTTCTATTTTAAATTAGTTATTAAAATTGAAACTTTGTTGTTATCGGCAGATTAGATTAATATTGGAAATAAATTCAGAACATGGCGATAACATTGCAAACGAGTCTCCCTCGATACAGATAGATATTCTTAGCTTGCTATGAGGAATGACGTTCGGTGCTTCTCGCAATACGCGATTTTTTTTTAACTTTCGCGCGATTTTATCAGAGAACTTATAGTACATAGAAATCATTAACATGTGTTTTCGAATTTTTCAAGCATTTGTACAATAATTTATGGAAAAAAAAACAGAATTTTACTACAAACAGTTATTAAAAATTTTGCCTTAGAATTTACAAAAACTGTAATTTCTAGAAAATTATTTTTATTAAAAAATATGACCATATTAGGATCTTGAATTTAATAAGATTGCGAACTGTAATTGTCGCAAAAAATTATTAAATAAAAAATATTTGGTGCACGGAGAAACATAGCGGAATTCCTCTATGTAATATTATTAATTATCGCCCTGCAATAGAAAATTCCTTTTATACGGAAAGACTATTTTGTATCAAAGCAACGCGCGCGTTCATTCTTTGAGATCGATGTTCTCAATATTGAACTAGATTAACTAGAATATTGGCTTCGACTATTCTTTTGGGTGAAAGCATTCATCCGATCGTAACTGCGATTCGATAATTTATTATTACGTTCACAAGAGGTACCAACAATATTTGGACAACTTTTATGACTTTGCACTAACTCATCGTCCTATTTTCGGTCGGGCAGGAAAATGAATGTATAAAAAAAATTCCATTTACTGTTAGACCGATTCAAATCGAAGCTTTGATCGTGGCTTCGAACAATGACTGTTTCCGTGAATCTAATCGGCGATTAGTGCGGGCGTCATTCGAAGGATTTAAATTTTCTGCACTGACTAGGAGCCAAATGCCAGTGCAGAATTGTTTTGAAAAATGCGGTTAAGCCGGGAGTACAGATTTTTCATAATGCTGCATAACGCACAAGACGTAATGCATAAGAAAATCAACCAATCAGAGTCCTTCATTTCATATTATGATTAGTTATTGGTTTCTTATTTAGGTTTCTTATATTAACTGCTAGTTGCTGCATTTTTATAAAAAGATTGATTTATTTAGCAACCAGTTTAACGTACTTTTTATTAATGCCATCTGTCCTTAAGATTATGGCAGTCTGTTCTGAAATTATCTCTCGTTGCTTTGCCTCTCGTTGTCTGCGCCTGTGTCACCTTTGCGCCTTGTAGGCTGCAGGTAATTTGGATAATGGTATTTTTACGACGAATTAAAATTGCGTGCTCTCTAATACGTGCATTGTGGCCAGTTTGCAAATGCAATTTACAAACGGGAAGAACGCGGCTTGCAGATAACGTAACTTTTTGTTATAAGGAGATAGAGGGTACATGTTTTTAATAAATGAATGATTTCATTTCCGCTTTAAAGCAATTGGTGCGTTCCTTTTGGACGCTCATGTGCTGTAAGCGCTCATACTTATAAGCGCTATTTAATTCTGCCGTTAATATTGCAAAAATAACTGCTGTATTAACACTTTAACTTTTGATTTTTTCGAATTTTTACAGAAATGGAAAAAACACCACTGCAAATTAAATATGAAGATTTAGAATTTTTTATGACAAATTTAAATAAAGCCTGGCAAGAAATTCGTTTTCAAAATGAAATTGTACCTGACATTACGCAAAAAATTGAGGACTTAGAAAAAGTCATAACAAGGTAAATATATAAAACAAGCTTTTATATATTATAACAAATTATTAAAAAATCGTGTACAAGTGTGATGTAAACAAGTAAATATTAACTATTATAGTTTATTCTAATTACAGTCAGCATTATTTTATTAAAGCGATCGCACGACCGATGCAGAGATTAAAAAATTTAGCGATAAAGATGACTCATTCTGATTTCGATATATACCGATTACTAACTGACTTTAAAGAAATGGTTGACCGGTAAGTCTTCTTAAAACAGTTAGCATTATAATTACTTTTTTATAGTAAAATTAAATGTTAAAATTTTTATTTAAAAAACAATATTATATTTACAGTATAATGCATAACTTGAGAACACCACACCAATTTAAAGATGAAGATTTAGACTCTCTTATGACATTTTTAAATGAAATCTGGGAAGCAGTTTATTCTCAAAAGAAAACTGTATTTAAGTTTACGCAAAAAATTTACAAACTAGAAAGAGTCATATTAAAGTAAATATAAAACAAGCTTTTACATGTATATTATAACAAATTATTAAAAAATCGTGTACAAGTATGATGTAAACAAGTAAATATTAACTATTATAGTTTATTCTAATTACAGACAGCATACTATCATGAGAGGGGTCTCACAACAGATGCAAGATTTAAACAGTTTAGCGTCACAGCTGTCTCGTTCTATTTTCAATACATTACATTTATTAATTGCAACAAGACAATCGCTTTACACGTAAGTCTTCTTAAAACAATTAGCGTTATAATTACTTTTTTCTAGTAAAATTAAAAATTAAAATTTTTATTTAAAAAACAATATTATATTTACAGTATAATGGATAGCTTGAGAACATCACGTAATGAAACACCGAATCCAGAAACTGTTCTACCAACGAATTCTCAAGAAAGTGATACTTACGCTACTATGCAAAGGTTTTCAGAAACATTAGTATTACTTTTTTTTAAATTAAAATTGAAAATTTTTAGTAAAAAAAAATTATATTTACAGAAGCCGCACAAATGTGCCACGTAGCTCGGATTCACTCGCTCTTTCCAAACGAAAGCACCCAATGTCGCATCAAGCAGTTATTCAAAAGCAAAAACGGAGATGTCTTGGTGTTAAAATTATCCTTGATATTTCCAAATTCAAACCTAAGCAATCAACGGCTTCACGTACTGATGAGTAAGTATTACTTTTTTTTAGTAAAATTAAAATTTAAAATTTTTAGTAAAAAAAAATTATATTTACAGTAGCTGCACAAATTTGCCACCCGCTATTGACGGACCAAGCTGTTCAAACCTTGTAACGTTGGCTCGAACAACTATTCATGACCAAAGACCGAGTTCAAGTTCTGATGCTATTAAATGTTTGCAAAGTCATCAAAGGTAACATCCAAAGTTACATTTGTATTACTCTTTTTAATGTTAATCAGACACATGTATGTATATATATATATATGAAAAGGAGACATATAGATTTTAACAATCTTACTTTTACCATAGTTGCACGAAAGAAATTCCTTCAAAAATTGAACACTCTTCAACTTAGCCAAAACAAAAAGAACCATAAAAACTGAAATGGAAATAATGGTAAGATGTAAAAAGAAATTTTTTTATAAGCTTTTGTTTTTTTATAAATTTTTTATTGTACTGCTCCAATGTAATAAATGTTTTTAAATAAATAATTTTTTTTATTTTTGCAGGTGGTCCCTTTGAAAATGAAACAGTTTTCAGAACAGAATTTTTTGACAAAATATCAAATATTGCTAAAATGAAAAAAAATATATTTTTTTGACAAAATGATTAATTATGATTTGCTAAATTGTTTGATAAACTAATATTAAATCTATTATTAAATTAACCGACCTCAGTAACGGGAAAAACAAAAGATTTTGTTTATAAGAGATAAACACCTGCGATATTATCATATTTCATTAAAAAAAAAATAAAAACATTTAAAATAAAATAAAACTTAATTTTATTAAAATTTTTCTCGATCGAGTTGCCAATTCACGAGTTGCCAATAGAAGTCACGCCGACTCTCTGCGAATTCATACAACTTGTTCCATTTGAGAAAAGATTAAGCATCAATCAAGTGCCTCCGTTAGTGCTCACGTTGTCCGACGATCGTAATTTGTTAAGCAGAATTGTACAGAGTGTAATTAATTTAATTTGAATAAAAACGTGTGCCAATCCGAACGCGAGTGCAATTTTTCAAATAGACGTTTCGAGTTCCACGCCTTTGCTCCTCAGACGTCCTCCAATTCGTCGTTATTGTAAAATTTGCTGTGACAATTGCACAATCGCCTCTGATGTCGACCCGGAGACGGGACGCATGACCGACACCCACAAGATGTACGCAATCTGTGGAGCGATTCGTCGAATGGTGTGTTTACGTTACTGCATGCATGCAGATATATACATAGATTTTATATACATAACTCATTTCTTGATACTTTCCGAATATGTAAAATTATTATATTGATATTAAAATGACATAATATTTCTGCAAATGATAATATCAATATTGTAATGATACTGATATAAATTTGTATCAAATCTGAAATCTTGTCAATTTTACGTTCACAGGGAGAATCCGACGACTGCATAGTGAGATTGACAAAGAATGATGGGTTGCTGTCAAAAAACTTTTAATCTAATTATGTAAGAAATTTATTTTCAATAAATTAAAAAAGCTAAAACTAAGTTGACAATTATTTTTCTAAAAACCTTTTTATATGTATTTATTTTTATATTATATTATTTCTTTTTTTTTATTTAATATTTATACATTCTAACAATTGTGCTAAAATGTAAATAAATAAAATAAGTCCCACTCTTGAATTAGATTCTGCATATATTCGAGCTTTAATTTCGATTTTTTATATGATAAAATTACATACAAAATTAAATACAATCGCACAAAAGAAATAATTAAAAAAATATAAATAAATAAATAATTCTATATACGCAGCTCACTTGTATAAGCTATTATCTGAAATAGTTATCCATTAAACAAGCCTATCCATCAAGCTATCTACGAGGTATAACAGTATAGTTAGATCTTTTCAGCTGCAAGTCTGTATAAATTATGCATTATTAAATTTAAACAATTAAAAAATGCTTAATAGAATACTTAATATTTATATTTAAATATTATAATAGACATTTTTTACGAATAATTTCCAATTAAAATTCTGAATAAATAATCAACTTTTAAAAACCAGAATACGAATTAAAATATAATGTGGGCAACTTTAAACATATTATTTATAGCATTTGGGATGGGATGAATTATTGCCTGCGTATATTGTATATGACATTTAATTATGCATTTTTATGTAATTTATACATACAATTAAAGGTATGAAATAGTTTTATATACACGTATAATACATTGATATTAATAAGACTTCTGCGTACGTAGATGCCAGTAGTACCGCTTCGCGCTCGTAAAATTATGTTCGTATGTGAATACTCTTCTTCAGTTATATAAAAATAAAAACTATATCGCTAAACTGTGTATGTAATCATGTTGTACAATTGGGATTGGCTATTCTCAATAAACTTTTATCGAAAAGAAAAAAATGTTCTCCATATCTCTTACATTTAAACATCTATCTTTACCTAGAATAGGAAGAAGCTGTCTGGCGTTTTAAGTAAAGATATAAGTATAATTTCTTTAAACTTCAATTCCATATTCAATATCTTTACTTGCCTCTTATATCTAAGAAAATAATACTTGACAAATATGTGACATTTGTACGTAATAATGTAATTAATACAAAGCAAAAGTGAAGAATAAAATAACGAGTCTATAAGTGAATAACTGTTGACATACAGCGGACAGCCGATATTTTGTTACTATGCACGTTGCATTTCTCGCAACCGTTTGATATGCCTGCGGGAAACAAAATTAGCTTGATATTTTCAAATGAATCTGGACAGTGTCATATCCTTAAACGCTCCCCCTTAGGAATACTCACGCGTCGCGTCAATATTAGATGTTTGAAAATTTACGTTACTTTTACACGGATAATTTTAAATCAATGTAGAATCGGTTTCAGATTTTTCTCCTGAGTATTTATTGACGGACTATTCTACATTTGTGACTGATAAGGTAGGCCGACGTATTAAACATATGTCATATCATTAAGAAATTCTCAAAAACTAATTATACTATTATATTATTGTTAATACCGCAATAGATTAACTATTTAAAAAATAATCATATTTTCGCCTTTCTTAACATAATGAATTGGAATACAATGAACTGGAATTGAATTTATCTTGTAAAAGACGCTGTTGGAATCCACTAAAACCAACTAATGCTATATGTATTTCATTCGCACGAAAGTGTTTATAGCAGAAATTTGGAAAATAATGATTATAAAAATCTTGACGCGATTTCGCGGTATTGTAACAAACAAACCTGTACTGTTACAGCTATTATATTGCACGTATTGTCATTCATGCAAATGCGTTTTTTTCCAAATTAAAATTCGTGTTCTCTAAATAGCAATAATATATAAATTCCTCTTTTAAGCAATTCACTGTTTTCTCCTTCGTCAAATTTATCGAAGCCAACCATGCATAGAAATAGATGTACTAATCCATTTACACGTTGATCACCGTGTGTCATCCGTTCAGAGTGGGTGTGTCTGATAAAGAATGAACACGATTGAATCTACGATTTTTCAATGTTGTCATAGCTTCCATGAGGTCGGTTCGTTTACTGAAGAAGTCCACTATTGCCTGGCCCGTCAAAGCAGATGCCAAAAATTGCTCGACGGTTATCGACCAATCGGGATCGGCGGACGACGCTACGCTCGATGGATTTCCATTGCGGTCGGGTGACTGAAAAAAGGAGTATGGGAGTTAATAAACTTGCTACTACAATAAAGAGTATCGATTGTTACAAATAAAAATAGATACCCTCTCGACAGCTGAAGGAGCTTGAGCTGCTGAAGCGGCCAAAAGCAAACTATCGTCAGATTCTTCTCTCTCCACGTAGAATTTCTTACCGACGTCCCCCAATTGGAGCAAAAGCGTACCTACGGTGGTTTTTTCGTGTTATTTTGTTTCATCATAATTAAACATTACTTACAATATATACAGTCGTGGACAGATGCGACACTTTTTTTATAGGTTTCTAATATATATTTGATATATATAATATATATTTTATAGGTAAACTAATGTTTCTAATATTAGATTTCAAAACGCACTAATATTTTGCAAATGCGAACCACGATGTATTATCTTTAGTCTGAAGACAGTTTAACACCAATCGTGGTTCGCATTTGCAAAATATTAGTGCGTTTTGAAACCTATAAAAAAAAAGTGTCGCAACCGATCTGTCCACGGCTGTACACAATTTCCAAATACAACAATACAGATGTTTTACCTATGGAAGCGATGCAGTGATATGTTTCCTGTTCTTCAGGTTGAGCGGGAAACATGTCGTAAAGCGTTTTCCATAGTGCTATAAAATGTCCCTGGGACATCTTTGGCACGGTTTTGAGGTCCAGCGGACTGTCCTTTGACGCTATCATCGAGCGCAAGCTACCCATACTCTGAACCTCCCACGACTGGTCGCCTGCCTGGCTGTTCAAGCTCGTGGATCGCGATAAGGAGCCCACGGTCGGCTCTTCGGCCACGCTGATCGGCATTTCTAAGGAGGCCACGCTCTGCTCCATGCTGTCGAAGAAATCCGTCGCTTCTGCCGCCACTTCGGCTCCATCTAATCAATTTATTATAGAATTATACGTCGTAACGTAGCTCACATAAATTACCACTGTGTATCGTTGAATTACCTGCTGAATGTGTCGGCGATTCAAAGTCGGCAGGCGTAAGAAGCGGTGGTAAATGCAACGTATACAATAGCTTTAATCTCTGCGTCAAATCGGCTGTTGCTGTCATCCCTATAGCCTGCACCAGCTCTCGGAAGTTTAGTAAGCCGTCGCGATTACGATCCATCAACTGGAAGAATATTTTTT